CGTTACCGGAGGAGTTACCGAGGAGTTACCGGAGTGTTGGGGCTCGCGGGGTCGGGATGGTACTCGTGCAACAAGCGGCAGGCTCGCGCGGCGCGGATGCCGTGGCTCCTCGCGCGGGATCCCAGCTGTGCCGGTGAGCGGGTGCTCTCTCTGCGGGGCGCGGGCCGGCCACGAGCCGCCGGATTTACGGACCTGTCCCGACAACAGTCCCCTCGCGCCTCCTCGCGCTCCTGCGTTTTCCCGCTGCGTGACCGCACGGACCCCGGCGCCGGCATGGGCGGGCGCTCCGGCCTGCCCCTCCGCGTGCTGTGGATGCTCCACGCGTTCCTGGACCTTGCGGGCTCCCAGGAGATTTACGCGCCGCACTCCATCCGCGTGGAGGGCGACGTGACGCTGGGGGGGCTTTTCCCGGTCCACGCCAGGGGGGTCCCGGGGACGCCGTGCGGGGACATCAAGAAGGAGAACGGCATCCACCGGCTGGAGGCCATGATGTACGCGCTGGACCAGATCAACGGCGACGACGAGCTGCTGCCCAACGTCACGCTGGGCGCGCGGATCCTGGACACCTGCTCGCGGGACACGTACGCACTGGAGCAGTCGCTGACGTTCGTGCAGGCGCTCATCCAGAAGGACACATCGGACGTGAGGTGCACCAACGGGGAGCCTCCGGTGTTCGTGAAGCCCGAGAAGGTGGTGGGGGTCATCGGGGCCTCGGCCAGCTCCGTGTCCATCATGGTGGCCAACATCCTGCGCCTGTTCCAGGTACGAGTCAGCGTCACACCTGCCCGCCCAAGCAGAGACGCACACACACATCTCCCTCATAAACCCACAGTGTGAGTGTGTCAGAGTGTAACGACTCCTGCAGACAGAAGAAACGTTTCTGCTGGATTGAGTCGTGCAGGTGAAGCTGTGCGCGCGCGCGTGTGTGCGCGCTGGTTTCTGGATCATGTTGCTGAGGCAGGTTCAGGTCCTGGAGCTGATTGAAATCTGTGTGTGTTTGTGTTTCAGGTTTATCTGCTGCTGCACTCTCGCTGTGTGTGTGT